GCCGGCTCCCCGCAGGCCGTGGATTGGGAAGCTGGGGCGAGCGGCCGGGATGCTCCCTCCCTTCCTTCGAGCACAGCATCCCGTTGCCCCGGTGGGATAAACACCCGCTTCCTGCCCTTAATCAGCTCCAGAGGGGCTGGGGGAGGACAGGGGGGAGAAAAAAAAAAATCAATCTCTGGAAAGAAAAACTCATTTCCTGCGACAGAAGAAAAAGATAAAGTCTGGGCTCATTAAAGTGAACTTTACTGGGGAGAGACGGGAAAGAGCCAAACACAATGTCCTTGAAATTTCCTCCGCGCGGCTCCGTCCACGAAAACAGGATAAAGCCGCTTCCGCTGTCTCTGCCGGAGCGCGCCGCAGAGGGAGGGAGTGGGGCGGCCGGGGGGGGGGGGGGGGGGGGGGGGGGGGGGGGGGGGGGGGGGGAGGGGGTGTGTGTGTCACCTGAGGGGACGGCGTGACCGGAGCTCTTCCAGGAATGGATTTTGGCCATAGGCAGAGATCGGGGCCAATTTAGGGCAAAGGGGGGCAGGGTCATCCTTGGAGGGGGGTCTCTGTCGGGAACCAGAGGGTCTGGCCAGCTCTGAGGGGTCAAGCCCACCCCAAACGAGCTAGGATTGAGTTTTTCCCCCCTTCCCTCATCACCCCCATCCATCACTTCCCCCCCGTTGCGACCACAGGCAGCCCGAGCCACGGGCCTGGAGGGTGCCGGCATCGGCCACATCCCCGCTTACCTGGCAGACGATGCCTCTGCTCTTGTAGAAGGCAATGACGGGCTCGGTGGCCTTGTAGTAGGTCTCCAAACGCTTCTTGATGGTCTCCTCGTTGTCATCCACCCGCCCACTGGTCTCGCCTCGCTTCAGCAGGCGTTTCACCATCGTCTCCTTCCCCGCATCAACGTACAGCAGCAGCGTGGGGGGGGCGATCTGTGGGCAGGGGGGGACATGGTTGTCACCATGCCGAGCCGGCATGGGTCTGCTTTGGTTTGGGGAGATGGTGGTGGTGAGCATGGGGGTCACAGATGTGCCCACACCATCCTCTGCCTCCCTCCGTGTGGGTCTGAGGGCCACTGGGACACTGTTCCGGTGTCCCGGTGACCCCCAGACCCATGCAGAGGAACAGAGGGACACCATGGCCAAGCCCTGGCTCTCTCACCATCACGCCAGCACCGTGGTCACCCTCTGTCAGCCTGAGGACATCCTGGAGAGACGTCCCCCCCCACCGCACCTGGGACACAGGCTGTCCCCAAGGCAGGGGGAACCTGCTGGCTGGGACGGTGCCCAGTTTAGACCCTGTTGGAATGGGATCTGTGCTGGGATGGGGAAGCTGGGCTGCTGCTGGCACCATGGAGACCCTCTGCATGGATGGTGGGTCATGGCATGGGGCACGGCACCAGCCCTCACCTTCTTCTCAAACTCCTCTCCCTGCTTCACCTCGCGGGGGTAGCCGTCGATGAGGAAGCCCTTGGACACGTCCGCTTTGGCCACCATGGCATCCCTCAGCATGTCCAGCACCGTGTCCTGGGGAGGGGGGGGACAGAGCTGCCAGGGCTGACGTGGGACAACATGCCCCCCCCCCCAACACCCAGAGCCCCCAATCCCTGCTGCAACCCCCCCGGGGTGGAAGGGATGGAGGTGTCCCCCGGGCCATGTGCTGACCATCACCGTGCGCCACGGGCGGCCGGAGCCACGGGCCTGGAGGGTGCCGGCATCGGCCACATCCCCGCTTACCTGGCAGACGATGCCTCTGCTCTTGTAGAAGGCAATGACGGGCTCGGTGGCCTTGTAGTAGGTCTCCAAACGCTTCTTGATGGTCTCCTCGTTGTCATCCACCCGCCCACTGGTCTCGCCTCGCTTCAGCAGGCGTTTCACCATCGTCTCCTTCCCCGCATCAACGTACAGCAGCAGCGTGGGGGGGGCGATCTGTGGGCAGGGGGGGACATGGTTGTCACCATGCCGAGCCGGCATGGGTCTGCTTTGGTTTGGGGAGATGGTGGTGGTGAGCATGGGGGTCACAGATGTGCCCACACCATCCTCTGCCTCCCTCCGTGTGGGTCTGAGGGCCACTGGGACACTGTTCCGGTGTCCCGGTGACCCCCAGACCCATGCAGAGGAACAGAGGGACACCATGGCCAAGCCCTGGCTCTCTCACCATCACGCCAGCACCGTGGTCACCCTCTGTCAGCCTGAGGACATCCTGGAGAGACGTCCCCCCCCACCGCACCTGGGACACAGGCTGTCCCCAAGGCAGGGGGAACCTGCTGGCTGGGACGGTGCCCAGTTTAGACCCTGTTGGAATGGGATCTGTGCTGGGATGGGGAAGCTGGGCTGCTGCTGGCACCATGGAGACCCTCTGCATGGATGGTGGGTGGCATGGCATGGCATGGCACGGCACCAGCCCTCACCTTCTTCTCAAACTCCTCTCCCTGCTTCACCTCGCGGGGGTAGCCGTCGATGAGGAAGCCCTTGGACACGTCCGCTTTGGCCACCATGGCATCCCTCAGCATGTCCAGCACCGTGTCCTGGGGAGGGGGGGGACAGAGCTGCCAGGGCTGACGTGGGACAACATGCCCCCCCCCCCAACACCCAGAGCCCCCAATCCCTGCTGCAACCCCCCCGGGGTGGAAGGGATGGAGGTGTCCCCCGGGCCACGTGCTGACCATCACCGTGGTATCTGGTGTCCCCACAGCCACCCCTGCCTGCATGCCCCACCGTGCCACAGCTGGTGGCCTGCGTGGACTCACCAGGGGCACCAGCTCGCCCTTCTCCATGATGACCTGCAGCTTCTTGCCCCGCTCCGAGCCCGAGCTGACCTCCGCCCGCAGCAGGTCCCCCGTGGAGAGGTGGGTGTAGCCATACTTCTGCACGATCTTCTCACACTGGGTCCCTTTCCCCGAGCCGGGGCCACCTGCAAGTCACGTGAGGGCCACATGTGCCCCAAGCCACGGGTAAGGAGCTGGAGGGGTACATGGAAGCAGCAGCACAGACTCACAGGAATCCCCAGAGCCCAGTGAGATGGAGGACGGCATTCCCAAGCCCAGCACCTGATGGCACCCAGGGCATCACCACCCAGGACATCACTGTCCCATTGGCACCTGGCCACCACCACCTGATCAGCACTCAGGACACCACCACCCCATCAGGCACCCAGGACATCACTGTCTGATGGCACCCAGGAGATCACCACCCCATCCAGGAACCAGGATATCACTGTCCCGTTGGCACCTGGCCACCACCACCCGATCAGCACTCGGGACACCACCACCCCATCCAGGAACCAGGATATCACTGTCCCGTTGGCACCTGGCCATCACCACCCCGTTGGCACCGAGGACATCACCCTCCAGGTGTTTACTGTCACATTACCCTAGATGCTGCCACCCCATGCCCAGCCAGAGGTGCCCTCCCGGTCCCAAGGTACCCCACCATGGCCTTGAAGAGCTGGAGCCATGGCCACCCCACAGCCCCTGGGGACAGCCGAGGGCCCACAGCCTCAGCCTCCAACCCCCGGCTCCGCCCCCCCAGCCGCTCCCCAACCCTGGAGGCCGGGGGGGACGGGGCTGCACTGTGGCCTTGACCCTGCCAGTGGCAGGACCCAGACACCAACTTACCCACCACGAAGATGATTTTGTGGTGCTTGAGTTTTTCTGGAGGAGAGAAAGGAAAAAGAATCATTATCAAAAGCCAGAAAGCCCGTCAGGGAGTGAGGTGTCCCCAGGGGGTGCCAGATCTGGGACAGGCATCCCCAGGGATGGAGGGGACTGATCCCAGAGCCCTGGGAGGGGGGGAAGGTGGAGAAGGAAGCAGCCGTGTGTGTCCCTTGTCCTCGTCACCTGGGCAGGTCGGGACGGCTGGGCTGGACATGGCTGAGCACAAAGACCCCATGGCGCCTCGGCCGCGGGGCTGGAATCCCACTGCCGCGTGGTGTCCCGGAGACGGTCACTGTCCACCGCGGGCAGGGACCGGCCACATCCGTCCCTGCGGCCAGCTTGTCACCCTGGCAGGCTAACAGTGCCTGTGGCAGGCTTGACTTGGCATGGCCACCTCGAGCGCCTGGCGCGACCCCCGGCAGCCCCTGAACCCCCGCACCGGTCCCTGGGCCTGGTGGCGGACGTGCAGGTGGCACTAACCTCCCTGTCCCCTGCCAAGCACCCAGGCGCAGGGTCCCGCGCCACCTGTGGGATCCGGCCCAGCCACAGCGCAGGGCGATGCCGGGGTGGGA